TTTAGCATATTTTCCCTCGGTATTTTAGTTTTCGATTGAAGCTTATTACCTTCTCATACCTCTAAATTCTATTTCAAAATTGCCTAAATTAACCGTTTAAGCTTGCCTTCCTTTTGCTCCCCATTCAGCTTTTATTTTTCTTTATTTTACTGACGCAGCGGCGACTGATGGTGCAGGCACATGGGCATTGTTTTGGTTGTGTTTGGGGATCATCGGAGTCTGCCACTTGGCGTCAATACCATCTACCTTCTTTCTTTTCCACCTGTTTCTCTTACTCCCATACCGACCCCCATTACTAACCTTCCTTCTACAATTCCCAGCATAATTTATAGCAACCGAAGTGCCAGTGGAGTAGAATCATCTACAGTCACCTCGCGACACGCACCGGACGCCTATCGGCAACAATCCTTTATAAGGCCACGCTATCCCGTTTTCATGACGACGTTCAACTTTCGCACTCTGAGACAAATAGTTTAACTGGCTGCACTTCTACGCACGTTGGACACACTGGGTATTGATGCGTGTTGTGTGTCCGAAACTAGGATCAGTGCCCATAATGGGGTTGTTGAATTAACTGCACCCAGCTTATCCTCTCGTTATTGGTTTCTTGCATCCGGAGACGCCGATGCAGCACTCACGGGTCAATCTGGTGTAGGTATCATTCTAACCTCCAAGGCTGAACCATCGTTGGTTGATTGGACTCCGGTGAACAGTCGTTTATCTGCAGCCTGTTTGACATCAGCTAAGGTTTATTCACGAGGTAGTACAACACACTGTTTGTTTGTGACTTCTGCTTATGCTCCCACCGACTGCAGTTCAAATACTGTCAGGGACACATTCTATCACAAACTGAACGCGCTACTTCGCCGTACTATTGGTTCAGATATTATATTACTTGCAGACATCGTATACCCAGAAATGACACCAATACGAATTCTTAACCGAACGAGGGTTAACGATTAACTGACCAAACACTACCGCTAACGGTCCACACTGAATATTTTTGATTTTTCATAATTTGATAGAGTTGTACAGAAACCTTTCTACTTGCTCTTAAATACATTCTCAGTCTCAGGGGATATAAATGCCCAAGTAGGGCATCTGAGCTCTTCAGAAGCTCAGCTGGGTGGGAATTATGGGCTTAACTCCGAACGGACTGACAACGGCGAGCGTCTGCTGCAATTGTGTGCGGATCACCAGTTGTTTCTTGGTAGCACTGCTTTTGCACACATTGGGCGCCGAAGTGCCACTTGGCGTCCTCTTGTAGCTGGCCTGCGATGGACCCAAACTGACCACATTGTCATAAGTTACAAGTAGTGTGGTTGCATCCTGGATTGTCGCTCGTTCTGGAATACTTGCGTCGACTCTAATCGTACCTCGGTACGCTGTCGTTTCTACATGAACTTTACCGGGAGACGTACCAAGCGTCTCCTCTGCTTGGCAACTGAGCAATTGTCTCAGCCCCCGGTCGAACAAGCCTATCAAAACGCACTGCGTACCGAACTTTCGCTATCTTGTCCTAATGACACTGAGCTTCAGTGGAATAGGATCTCGGCCGCCATGCACGACGAAGGAGCATCTGCTTTTGACACTATCAGTCGTCACCGCACCAGTCACTGGATATCCGAGAGGTCGGTGAACCTGTTGGAATCTAGAAGGCACCACCCGGCTGGCTCTGAGCACAGTGTGACCAGACGGGCTATTAGGCGTGAACTAAAGCGGAGCTTACGCGCTGGCAATGAAGCCTGGTGGACCAGTCGAGCTCAAGCAATGGAGGAGGCAGGAGCAGTAGCAAATTACCGCAAGCTCTTCCAGCTGATCCGCATCACTGGTCCAAGGAAACCAGGCCTCAGTGAGACAATAAGAGACAGTGCGGCTCCACTGATACACAATAAGTAGCGCCGTATGGCTCGGGCAAAACACTTTCAAGATCAATTCACCTGGGCCGCTTTTCCCGGACCTCTTCCTACTCAGGTGATGCAGGACGAGCCATGGACGGTTAGTTTAGAGCCTCCGTTGGAGGCCGAGGTCCGAAACGCCATCACAGCCCTTAATCGTTTTCGTGCCGCTGGCCCGGATTCCCTCCCACCTGCACTATTTAAGGATGGAGGTGAGGTCCTCTGAAAAGCACTGACCTCCTTATTCGAATGTATCTGGAAGGAAGTGTCCCGGCTAATTGGAGCGAATCGATTATAGTGGCAATATACAAGAACGGCAGTCGCACAGACTGTTCTAACCACAGGGGTATTAGCCTAACGTCAGGTGTGACAAAATTACTGGCCTCGATTATCGTTCATCACCTCAGTATGGAACGGGAATCACGGATTAGGGAAGAGCAGGCTGGTTTCCGCCCAGGACGTGGCTGTATAGACCATATATTCACTTTGCGGCAGGTGCTAGAGAAGCGCCGCACATACCGCATACCGGGGCTTGGCCCCTTCCGTCTGAAGTCCTTCGACGCCTTGAAGTCTTTGTACATCGTTATCTACATAGTCTTGCTCGTGTCGGATGGCACCAACGTGGCCGCAACGGTGATGTGCGTAGGCGAGTACTAGGTAGTGATAATCATGCTAGCTCCTTAGAGCAACAGATAGCACTGGGTAAGTTGCGTTGGTTCGGGCACGTTTTACTTATGCCTGGTCACCGCTTACCTAGGAGGGCCTTGTTTAGTCTGCCAGGTGTAGGGTGGTGCAAGGCTCGAGGTGGACAGAAGTTGACTTGGCAGCGGGAAAAGAACTCACGGACGACCAAACTAGGTGCCATTGGTCCGTTTCGCCTTCCTCGCTGGAGTCTAGGTGGCTCGCCTTGTGCTTGGCTCGAGACTTTACAGGACATGGCTCGCAACCGACACAAGTGGCGCGTCTGCTGCCATCTCCTAATCGGAGTGCCTGTTTAAATTGTGTTTGATGCTGAGTTATTTGCGGGTAATGTGTAATTGTTGCGGCTCAGTGAAAGCCGCAATGAAGCTCTCTCACCGATGCCGCCTTATCTTTGCACGATAGCCAGTTGTTTGTGACGGTATGTTGTTAACACAGGGTGTAGGCGCCTTGACCCTGAATGTTTGCTTAGGGCATTAAGGTTTTCAAGTAAGTTCCCCTTCTCTCCGTCTTCTTATTCTTTATTTCATAGGTCTTCATGTCTGTATGGCACTGAAGCATCAGTTCAAATGGCTGATGTACTGTTGTTGTTGATGATGTTTACCATCTGGTAGACCTAGAGGTCATGCTGTCATCAGAGTTGAATTCTAGTACGAACTAAGGAAAAGTTACATGCAAAGGATACAAAATACTGTAGCTGGTCCACGGGTCGTTCGGAGTAATCACAATAGACAGAACGATACCGTCGGTCGTGGAGTTCAGGGATAGTAGACCTTTCACTTCGATGACGGTTCCAGTGATCGTATTGACAGAGGGTGACTTCGAAGTCAACCGAGGCCACAATTGAAATTGTGTCTCAAACCAAAACTCGGTGGGTGCCCCAAAACCCGAATATCAAGTTTACAGGCTGTGTTAAGCACTGCTCGCGGAGCTCAGTGGTCTAGTAATCATAGCGATTGGCGCCAAGCACTATGCAATCTTAACTGATTACATCAAAAATACCCTACTCATGAGCACACCAAAATATCCACCACAACACTTCCTAAATCCCATGTCGTACATAGCCAATTTTAGTGGACGTCGTATCTTTTTCGGGGCTAACTCTGTCTTCTGCAGCATTCGTAACTTGCCTGGCATTGCGGGATAAGACGCGCTTTATCGCAGTTAGTTTATAAATCCTGGCGGTCCGAATCTGTCCCCCGTAGCCCAGTGGCATAAGTTGCTGACTGGCGGTACAAGTCGCTGGCTGTTGGATCCGATGGATGCGCCCTACTCATGATGCTCAATATGCTAAAACTGCAATCTAGTGCTTTTCCGGGCATGTGGTCGACTATCTGATTTTTTGTTTTTTAAGCCACTTCTTTTGGGCCATTCAGTAAACTTTCACAAACCTCGATCTGATGTAGTCTGAACAGATTTTTATTTATCACGCATGGTGTAGATTCCTGGATTGCACTGCCCGAGGACGTGGTGTTGTCACCATCGATGAAAGTGTTCGAACATCGATTCGGCGCCCTTAGCTTTCAAATCTAAACTTTTCCATTGATATTAGATTATTCACCCATGTTGCATTGCTAAACTTTTTTCTTTTGTTTCTCCACGCTTTTTCATAATTGCTATTTTAGTTTCTTCTTTCGTGTTGACCCTACCGTGCGAACTGCCAACGCGGGTCACGTGGACATTACTTAGGTGGCCGGGATGTGAATCGCGCGTGCTGATCTGACTCTTCTAGATAGCAATTATCACGAACGAAAATCATCCTTCCTAAGCTGTGCACCCCGGAAGGAACATCGGTGTGATTATAACCTACTGTTCCCTTCCCACTTTAACTTGAATCGCGCGTATTGCTTATGCTCTTCCTTGGTAAATGGATCCGTCAAATTCCCTCCTGGATCAGCGACGTCTTCAAAGGAAGAACGGTCTTTTGATCTTCCAGCTTTTCCGGTCCCATTTGGATCTAAACTTGATTATAATTCCTGATTTTAACCGCTTGGGATTTGCGCGCTCCGATTTTTGAAGAGGGCGTGCCTAACATGCATGAGGCACGTTTCGGATTTTAATTTCTAGGCAGCGGTTTCCTATACATTTATTGCACTCTTACTTTTTCAGAAATAGTGCGACAACCTACTTCTTGTGGCATTTTTCTATTATTTTGACTTAAAGTTGTTGCTTAACCAGTAGACGTATATATTGCATCGCGGAAGTTGTAGTCAATAGAATTAATTGCGAAGTAGCACTTCGATCGTTAATGCTTTTTCGATTACACTCACTACTTAATAACCTTTATCCATCTCTCTGAATCTAGGTGTCTGGAGTGAGTCAATGACTACTTAACGGGATATTTTTGCTTGTACCAACCATCGCATTTCCCGATTTCATCTTTGCATCTACCTCTATCCGACTATGAACGACATCAAGCAGGAACATGGTTTTCTAAGTCCGATGAAATCCGAGATCTCTGCAAGTAACTTTACTTTGTATATTAGTACAAAATTTTAGCTATTGTAACTGCAAAAGAAGAATTTATGCCGTCGGACCAAGGAATTAGCGTGAGTGTACGTCAACATGTTTTTTTGTTTTCCACGTTTGCTAAGTTTACTGCTCTTATATTCAGTCATATTCAGATCTGTTTCTTACTAACATCTCTCGACGTAGTTGTTTGTTGCTACCATCTTTGGAAATTTGCTGTAACCGATCCTGTTGGGATCCCCAGTCAGCTTGTCCGTAGAATAAGCGAGGCACTTGTTAGGTGGAAGCCTCTATCCTCATCAGAGCCGGACCTGATTCGTTGCCTTGATTTCCCCGCCAATCATTCGTGTTTCACGTCGTGTCACACTGTGTTCTACATTCCTTTTAAGTTCTCTTAGTGAAGAGTTTGATGCAACTTTACCAGTTCCATTTCGTTCTATGTCATCTCGGACGATGATGTCAAAGTGATTCGATTGCGGCAAAGGAGTCACTTCTCATGCTGGTTGTCTGCGTTATAATCCTTGATAATTGCGAGACCGATCTCTTTAAATGCCTTCAGCATACTACCTCTCCGGTGGTCGCTTCACCAATTGGTCCATTTCCATTGGTTAGCTCTCACACCATAAAAGTTCTTAACACAACTCTGTCTAAGGAAATCACATCACCTTTCTTTTTTTCTTATCTTGAGTCTAGTTGGGCAAACCGTATGGCACAAACAACCGATTAGTGGACATTGGCGAGACTGTAGCGATTGTACGTTGCTCTTTTCCCTATCCTACCTTCCCATTTCCATTATTTACTGTTCAGTTTTGTTTTAACTGACCCACAACCGATGAAATCACTTACGGGTTTCGATCCGCCTTCTGGTTTCCGCCACGCGTGTTGTGCTGTTGATCGTCGGTCTGCTTGCCTCGTTCATCGATCATCGGATCTACTTCGTCGAATTATTGTACCGACTAAGTTTCGTTCTCCGACCGTATTGTGCGACTAACTGACGGCCTACTGAGGATCGTGCTTTACCGAAGGTCAGGCCCAGCATTCTTACTTTATAGACTGGGAGTTCGTTTATGTAGTTCAGCCCTTTTAGTTTGGCCTATCCACTACAGAACCGGTTGTGCGTCCCGAGTGACATTTTTGTGAGTGTCTGTCCAAGCGTTGACACATTTTGGACGGATTTCGGTCACCCACAAAAGTAATTTTCAACTTAGCCCTAACATCTGCTGTGAATTGGTTTTTCCAGTCTCAAATATCGTCCGCGCTCAGCGGAACTCCAATCCCAATGCGTTAACCTATTACTATAGTGACTGATATGTGATCAAAATTGTCACTGGTATGGCCAGGGTACATAAATTCGTAACTCGCATTGGCTGAGTGTATGATTTTATTGAAAGTAAACGGTTTATGCCGTAGTGCCAGTGATTTTTACTATGAATTATACCACGTAGTATCATATTTTGACAAACCGCGTCTTTTATTTTCTTATTTGCTTCGTATTCTGGCAAGCGATCGAGAAAGCTGATCGTTCGCTTGTGGGATCAAGACACCTCAGTCGGTTCCCAAAGTAGATTTTCATCTTCATGTTTGCCTTTTATTGTTGTTTTATTCAGTCTTAAGTTTTCTTACTAACATTTCTGAACGCAATAGTTTGTTGCTAGCAGCTTTGAGAAATCGCGATCAGTGCACGGAACGATGGTACATCCATACTTTGACGATTTTCAGGAGGCGGGTTTTGAGGGGCCACGTCGCGAAATGCACAGGTGAAGTTACATTCTGTACAAGAGCTTCCAAAATCGGGAAACTTCCGGTACTGCGTACAGGTGCACCGTTGATACCTTGTAGTCTCCATTAGCACGGGGGCATATAAAAATTCCTAGTCATCGTTCCGTGCACTGATTGTTGGTAGCAACAAACTATAAGGTTCAGAAATGTTAGTATGAGAAAATTTAAGACTGGATGGTTGGCGGCATCCGATTTCAGATCTGCCATGGCTGGCCACGGTGATTGGCAGATCTGAAATCGGATGCCGCCAACCATCCAGTCTTAAATTTTCTCATACTAACATTTCTGAACCTTATAGTTTGTTGCTACCAACAATCAGTGCACGGAACGATGACTAGGAATTTTTATATGCCCCCGTGCTAATGGAGACTACAAGGTATCAACGGTGCGCCGGTACGCAGTACCGAAAGTTTCCCGATTTTGGAAGCTCTTGTACAGAATGTAACTTCACCTGTGCATTTCGCGGCGTGGCCCCTCAAAACCCGCCTCCTGAAAATCGTCAAAGTATGGATGTACCATCGTTCCGTGCACTGATCGCGATTTCTCAAAGCTGCTAGCAACAAACTATTGCGTTCAGAAATGTTAGTAAGAAAACTTAAGACTGAATAAAACAACAATAAAAGGCAAACATGAAGATGAAAATCTACTTTGGGAACCGACTGAGGTGTCTTGATCCCACAAGCGAACGACCAGCTTTCTCGATCGCTTGCCAGAATACGAAGCAAATAAGAAAATAAAAGACGCGGTTTGTCAAAATATGATACTACGTGGTATAATTCATAGTATAAATCACTGGCACTACGGCATAAACCGTTTACTTTCAATAAAATCATACACTCAGCCAATGCGAGTTACGAATTTATGTACCCTGGCCATACCAGTGACAATTTTGATCACATATCAGTCACTATAGTAATAGGTTAACGCATTGGGATTGGAGTTCCGCTGAGCGCGGACGATATTTGAGACTGGAAAAACCAATTCACAGCAGATGTTAGGGCTAAGTTGAAAATTACTTTTGTGGGTGACCGAAATCCGTCCAAAATGTGTCAACGCTTGGACAGACACTCACAAAAATGTCACTCGGGACGCACAACCGGTTCTGTAGTGGATAGGCCAAACTAAAAGGGCTTAAGTACATAAAAGAACTTCCAGTCTATAAAGTACGAATGCTGGACTTGACCTTCGGTGAAGCGCGATCCTCAGTAGGCCGTCAGTTAGTCGCACAATACGGTCGGAAAACGAAACTTAGTCGGTACAATAATTCGACGAAGTAGATCCGATGATCGATGAACGAGGCAAGCAGACCGACGATCAACAGCACAACACGCGTGGCGGAAACCAGAAGGCGGATCGAAACCCGTAAGTGATTTCATCGGTTGTGGGTCAGTTAAAACAAAACTGAACAGTAAGTAATGGAAATTGGAAGGTGTACCTTCCCATGTACAATGTACAATCGCTACAGAACTCCTCCCTAGGGCGTGAGTCACTGAGAAGGGCGCTCGAAACTTGTGTGTCGTTTATCATTCTCTGGAAGTGCGGGGAACTCTACGTCCGACGCTTGTTCGCTAGTGCGAGTTCCAGTTTGTGCCGTGAGATGCTTTGGGCCAAGGAGAGGGAACCGATTTGTCACACATCGGCTGAGTAGGAGACGTACTTGGGAAGGTGGGCTGGTCGGTGGGTTTCGCTACTGGTCGCGTCTCGATGTAAGCCGGCTTCAAGCGATCTATACTCACAGTATCCTGATAACCATTTCTATCCAGCACGAAGTGCTTCTCCTTCTAGGCAAGAACCTTGAAGGGGCTCTCGTAAGACGGTGTCAGAGGTTTACGGACGGAATCGACACGCTTGAGAACGAAGGGGCAGGTGGCTAATCCGGGTGTACCTGTTGACTCCGAGGACTGATTCGAGATGGTGTTGAACCAATTTAACTGAAGTGTTGCCTCAGATGTGTGACGTACAAAGTTGGATCAACCTATCTCTTGAGTCCAGCACCATTTCTCCAAGAAGCCTGAGAGTAGTGCCAAAGACCGACTCAGCGGGACAACAGCCAATGTCTTCTTTAATGGTGTTACGAATACCAAGCAAGATAATCGGTAGACGTTCTGACCACTGTGAGTTCGACTGCGAAGCAGTAATTGTGGCTTTAAGTTGACGATGAAAACTTTCAACGCTGCCATTAGCAGCTGAGTGATAGGCGGTTTTCCCTAGGTGGGAACAACCGAGCAAGCTGTTCAAATCATGAAACAAAGCCGTATTGAATTGGGGCCCTCTATCGGTAGTAATAGTGGCTGGCGTGTCAAAGACGGAAATCCAATTCTCAATGAATGTTCGCGCCACAGTTTCTGTAGAAGCATCACGTAAAGGCACGGCAAGTGGCCAACGTGTACAACGATCAACACATGTCAATAAGTAGACAAATCCGTTGGATGGAGACAAGCGTCCAACGATGTCAAGATGAACTTGTTTGAAACGGGCTTCAGGAAGAGCAAACGTGCCGGGGACGGTAATCGTGTGGCGGTGGATCTTGCTGGTTTGGCAAGTTATACAGTGTTTGGCCCACTGCTGGATCTCGGACCGCATGTTGTGCCAAATGAAGCGATCAGTAATCAGCTTGACGGTGGCTCGGATGCTCGGGTGTGAGATTCCATGCAGGTGGTCAAAGACGATTCTGCGGTACTGCTGAGGGACAAAAGCCGGGGCTTTCCAGTAGAAATATCATAGTAAATTTTGTAGTCTGCGTTAAACATTAGCAGCTGTGATATTTTGACCGATGGATTTGCTCGCAGTTGCATAAACTCATGAGCTTCTTCCTAATGAGCTGCTATGATCGTCTGCCGTGAAACTTCGTGAAGGGATACTCGACATGGCATGGGCGACAACGTTATTGGCAGCATCAACATGGCGATTGTCGGTGGAAAACTGTAAGATGAAATCCAAACGACGAATTCCTCTGGGGGAGAAACGGTCGGAGGAATCACTGAAGGCAAAGGCAAGTGGTTTATGGTCTGTGAGGATGGTAATTGTGCGACCTCCAAGCAGGTGTCGGAAATGTTTGATAGCGAGGTAGATAGCTAAACGTTCTATACCAAAAGTGCTGTATTGCGTCTGTGCTGGCTGAAATTTGCGAGAGAAGAAAATAGCGGCTCAGGTTGACTGTTGATTACCTGCTGGAGAACAGCCCAAGGGGCGGTCTGATATGCATCAGTCCTGAGGATGAGAGTGGTGTCAACACCAGTCCTCAAATGACTAAGGGCGGTATATATATATATATATATATATATATATATATATATATATA